AACCATACAGTATATACTTCGTTGGTATTAGTACCAATGTTTGACTTAATAATTTCGGATAAATTGAGCATTGAGTAGATTGTTAAAAAATGAAATAATATATTTATAATATGCTAATGAGTAGGAAATATAAATTTTCCGTCGTTTTGTGACTCAGTGGAAGCCACTTCTTCAGAGGATAAATAATCAAATGAAAATTAATCCAAGTTTAAATAATACAAAGGAACTACGCAAGAATATTATGTGCGATAAATACTTTATTTGCAAGATGTCGATCAATTGTTTCAGACTTCACTGTTCTTTGTTTCTGTTCTCTTTTCTTTGATCTTCTTAACATTCTACCTCCATGCATTTCATTTTCCATTGATGATATATACTACTTATATGTGTCGACATCAGTAGCATATACCACAATGCAACTAAGATTAGATGATTAATATGAAATCCCTAGTAAAAAAAAAATAGATTTACTGTTATATGCATTTTTCACTAAATAAATGAGTGCTAGATATTGGACTTTTGCCAAATACCAAAAAGAGAAAAAAAAGGGAGAACGGTTATCTTCATACGTCATAATTGTATATTATAATCACATTATTTCTTAATAAACATCATCAATTGTTAATAACAAATAAAAATGACAATTTCACTTTGTAACAGATTAAATAAACATTTACAATTCATAAACTAAATCATAAAAGAAAATTGTTTATCATTCTATTAAATATAATTGAATTCTAATTATATACATTATTATCAGAAGGAGGTTTTGTAGTTGAAATAAAGAGTCAATTGAAGCTAGAGCACTATGGAAAACCTGGAATCACCGGATAACGCATGAAACTGATAGGTCCTGGATTTGAGTCTCGCGAGGGGTGGTCGTGGATGCGCACCGCTGAGGAGTTCCACAATATGACGAAGTAGCCATCCAATGCTTCCAGATTTGAATTGACTCATGGTTTCAACTATGAAAATACTGAGATCTCCACAAAACCCATTCTGATTATAATCATATGCTCACTAGTGACTGACTTCATGAGGTAAATCCTGGAGTTCCAGTTAGAAGCAGTGACCAGTGGAGTTCATACCACGTCTGTTGTGAGATGGGAACTCACTGACGACAATTGATGAACTTTGTGGATTGGTTGAAGTTAGACATTAACACCGTTGGATGCCGGTTCAGTAGTCTAGTGGTTAAACGCTGATACTGATAGGTCTTGGTTTCAAATCTTGCTAAGCGTAATCGTGGATACGCACTGCTAAGGAATCTCACACTGGGACGAAACGGCCATCTGATGCTTCCAGATTTTTCATAGTGGTCTACCTTCAATTGACTCATGATTTCAATTATACAAAATTACATTATTATATATTGAATAATAACTAATAAATATTCAATACATTCATAATAAATATGAAGTGGATGATCAAATTCTTTTTTTTTTTTTTGTTTTGTTTAAATCTGTTCGTAGATTTGCTTGGATTTTTCAATTTTTCTCAATGATTGATAGATTTAATTATTCCAATTTATATAAAGGAATTATCTTTTGTTCTTTCACAATCATTACAGTTAATCATCAAAAAAAAGAAGAAAAAAAATGAAAAAAAATGGAAAGAAATTAATTAATAAATATAGGTGTTGATGAAATAAATATCCATCTATGTAGTATGAAACAATAAGTTAATATATCATTGTAGGGATAGATTGAATTTGAGAAATGAAAAATGAATTATTATGTTTACAATGATGTTTATCTAATGATAAGATCTTATTTCAGTAGTTTTATAGTAGTATCATGATGATAAGTTATTGTTATAAATAGTAAACATTATTGTATTCGCACTTATCATCAGTTGTTCTGTGATATATATATATATATATATATATATATATATATACCGCCCGTCGGTACTACCGATTGAATGGTTTAGTGAAGTTGTTGGATTGGCGTCGTACTAGTGACTTTGCCGCCCGACTGATGTTGAAAAAACGATCTAATTTGACTATTTCGATGAATTAAAAATCGTATATACTGTCACTCAACATTGATTATTTTGATCAAAATACGATTTTATCATTTATTAAAATAGATTTAAATGTTGAAATTACCTGTTGCCAACTAGGTGTTCTAGAGGTTAGACGTTCACTCTGTGAACTGAAAACTCTAGGTTTAATCAGTACTGTGGGATTGATGTATATTGATTGCCACTAAGGAATATCATACTGGGATAAAGCAGATGTTCAGTACTTTCTAGTTTCTAATAAAAGTTGTCTAACCCAGATTATTTTTCTAGTTAGCGTTTTTTTAGCGAGTTAGTTTTTCTACGGGATGGGGTCGCTAACCCCATGCCTAACCGTCCTCACTTACCCGGGCCTCGAACCGGCAGTAACTCTAGACTAGCTACAGGCGGAGAATGCTGGTATGAGGATTATGCTCTTCAACTAGGGGTAACAGGCGTAGATAAGTAACCTAGATTGATTCATAATCTTGGTTAAAATTCAACAGTCTTCATAAACCCCTTTGCTAATAACTCTAAACAAGGTATAAATAAAAACGTTTTTTGTAATCTGAATGGTTTTATTTGTTTCCTGGTCAATGATTTTTCCCAGAGTATATATAACTCTCTCTGGTAAATGCTGGATTCGAAATCATAATTATTTTATTTCATAAACTTTATGGTACGCCATTTTATCTCTTATAGATTATTTCTCATTTGTGGAGAAAGCTTTTAACTCATTCCCCTTTTTTTATGACATACAATGTCAGGGAAACTTCTCATCAATTCCCTTAAGATTACGAATACATAATCATGATGAGTGTAATATAGGACGAAACTTATGCCAAGAGTTTACTACCGACCACATCGAAATACCTAATATCTTAACATAGTGTATACTATTTTGAATCGCTTAGACCAGCGGTGTAATTGCAATTTAGTCGGTTGAATTCAATCAATGATAAAAGATTAAACAAACATGGAGCCCTGTTGAAATTTCTGGACACACATCATCATGCCTATTATTTGCATAACCTATCCAGGTGCGCTTATGAAAAGTTTACAACCATTCGCGGTACAAGTTACAAGAAGCCTAATCAGAGATGTCATAGTTGCTGGCAATATGCATCGACAAGAATGTACATCATTCAGACGTTGATTGTTCAACTGCTAACATCTAACTCGCGATCAATCAACATTTATTGCCAAGATCGATCAAGAAATAAGAAGAGGAAACTTGTTGAAATACATTATTCTGAGAACTTTATATTGTATCAAAAAAATATAATACTGAATAAAGCTAATAATAATAATGGTCATTAATTAATGATCAGTCGATCCTATTTACGCTGTATACCTAATGATAAGCATAAAAATTCCGGTCGAAATTTTAATGGGAACAAATTTGATCGAAAATAGTACACTGCAGTGCACATCTGAAAATAAGTCAGCCCTTATAGACTACGTCTATTTCCTTTCATTAATCAACTTATTTTCCTTTTACTCCCAAAAATGTATCCCACGAAAAGAATTTTCTATATATGAAGCATCATATTTTGTTTACTCAACCAGTTCGACATAAATATATTTCCGGTATATGGTGATTTGTGGAAATTTCCTAGTTTACACTAAGAACTAATTTTAACCAGGCCTTTACTGCAAATACGGAAACACTCAATATCTGTTTTATCCTAGTATGAGGCTCTTCAGAATTGCATATCCCCGATCTCGTATACAGACCTTCGATCTGAATGTTCGAACTTTGACTCTTTGTGATGGGGTCATAGATGCTCACTTCCGAGGTATCCTATACCGGTACAAAACAGATATTGAGTGTTTTTTTAGTTTCCAGTATAGACCTAGTTAAAATCAGTTTTTCGTGCAAACTATGAAAAACTTATCTGTTAAATGGAATTAAATACCAGTTATTTAGTTTAGATACAAAAATGAAACGTACAATGTGTTTGTTATGATTTAAGGTTTAAACTTTAAAATCTCATTGAAAGAAGATTGATGCTCAATAATGATTCCGTTAAGTTACTCATAACATTTTCCTGGTTGATTGAAATGTTTCACAATTTAGACTAATCTTCCCTACCTCTATGTCAATGAATCCCAACAACAAATGTAAACAGTATGGATATTATCATACTCGCTGTGTGTTGAAATTTCTGCTTTCGTAGAATTGTTTTTATCTGTGGTGGAGTTATTTTCTGTTGTACGAAATTAACAAACAACAAATCTGCTGTTACATAAATTAGATAGATTTTATATAACACCAGAATTTAGAACGTGGTTTTCATTCTATTCAAGACTCATCAGATAAATGTACATGAATTCCATTGTTAATGTTTACTCTACGACTAAAATGTAGTTGCTTTTGTCTAAAAAATATCAACACATTATCTACTAGGTTAATGAGACTAAACGGTGATTAATTTGTGAAATGACTATGATCCATGTATTAATAAGAGTTAAAATCATCCAGTTGTTGAGATTCTTGAATATATTCTGTTCGATTTTTTTATATTAATGTCGTGTGTGCTACCAATTTCGACAGTTATATGTAGTATATATCAGCAATCGAAAGTGGAAAGCCTGGTGACAGAAGGTTCAGAAGATCGAAGAGAAGAAAACGAAAACATAGAGTAATTGGTGTGGAAATGAAGGAATAATCAAACCTAAGACAATTGATTGACCTTTTTCAAATGAATTATTTACTATATGGTCCTCATATTTTACTAAGATATTCCTATAATCTCGTATTCAAATGCATTCAGTTGTCCCCGCTAGTGGTCTCATTCACCACATCAGTATGTGTTCTTCCTGTATGAAATGCTTCTATATAGGCATTTTTATCTACCATAAAGTCGATGGTTGTTCATTACAATTTCTCTGTAAATATTTCTTTCTCAATAAGCTTTATGTTTTCATTAATTTAGTTTACAGATCAACAAATGATTGATAAATTGATCCCTTCATTTATTTTTTCATCTTTTCAGCTAATGTTCGAATTCATTCACATTTATATAATCCACATACAACTTATACTTCTATTGGATTACATCATTGTCCTCATGATTCAAATAGTGTAAAGATTCCACGATTCAAAGATAACAATAGTAGTAATAATAATGATAATAAACATTATACATTTTATCCAAATGCTCATCTATCTAATTTTATTTTAGCTACTCATTGTTTAGGTCAATCATCTTCATTATTATCTACTCCATCATTGTCACCATTACAACAAAAGAAAATACAATTACATACTTCACTATCATCACCAAATGGTATAGAATGTCGACAAAGTTGTATTGGAGATCAATCAAAGTATATATCTAATGTTATTGTTGATCATAGAAATAATTGTATGATAACACCTGGATGTTTTATATCGAATTGTGCAGAAACAGAACTACCTACATTAAAAACTATAACACAACAACAACAACAAAATGATCGAACACCACCAATCCCAGTAAAGTTAAATATTCAATCTCATTGTGACAATTTACAAAATCAACTTGATCATGATCAAGGAAGATTGAATGGAAGTCAGCAAATATTTGAAAACAATGATAAATGCAATATGACACAAGATTATCAACGGGTATGTCCAATTATAATGTATAATTCATAAATAGATTTTCAAAATGTACCATTGTGACAGTTTTTTCTATATGTATGACTGTACTTCATCTATTGAATAAGAAAATGAAATAAATGAGCTATCTATAATGGAGATGTAGAGTAAATAGTGAGATGGTGGTTGGAGGTGGTCAACAGGAAACCCTGGACCCGGGTTTTGTGCTATTTGGCACTCGTCAGTAAGGTGTACCTGTATTCTTGAGGGAACTGGTGCTCCCTGACGGATTCGATCTCGTGTAACTCAGCTTCACAGTCAGAGATGTTACCACTGAGCTTTTCAGGCTGCGACCAACCTCCTGTAGGACTAAGATGTAATCAAAATTGATTGATCACTGGGTGATGATCAATATCATGAGTGTCAAGTCTTTCTTGGTGCTGATCTAATGCTATCGATCAAGTTCTATTTATTTAAACCAACTGATTTCAAGTTACAGGAGCAAGATGACAGGTAATGGTGAGCCAAGGTTTCATGCTTGTTTGTATAAAGTGTAGCTGTAATCATTAGGAAAGTGATGCTCATTGTGGGATTCGTACTCTCATCGTCTAGATTCACAGTCTGAGACGTTATTCTCCCCACGCTTAAAATCTTGTGGGATTAAGATATTTATTATGAATGATCACTGAGTGCTAATCAATGTCATGTTTATAAAGTCCTTCTTAGTGCTGATCTATTTTTATCGGCCAAACATGTTCCAATACTGTCGCTAGTCCAAGTCACTTGAAATCATGTGAACTGTATCCAGATGGTAAGCGATTAGGGTTTGATTAGAGGTTACGTATATATATATATATATATATATATATATATATATATATTACGCCTGTTAGTCCTCATAGAGGAGCATAGGCCGCCCAGTAGCACTCTCCATCCAACTCTGTCCTGGGTATACTTTTCCAGTTCTTTCCAGTTAACATTCATCCTTTTCATATCTGCTTCTATTTCCCGATGTGTTCTTTGGCCTTCCTCTTTTTGGCATCCCTTCAGGATTCCAAATTAGGGCTTGCCTCGTAATGCAGTTTGGTGATTTCCTCAATTTATATCTTAACAACTTCCAACGTCTTTTCCTAATTTCCTCTTCAACTGGAAGCTGCTTTATCCTCTCCCACAGAAGGCTGTTGTTGATGGTATCTGGTCAGTAAATGTTGAGCATTTTGCGCAGACAACCATTTATAAATAAATAAATAACGATATATATATTACCGTTTAGTTATTACCGTTTATTCTTCTGGGTATATGAGTGTTTTCAGTCAAACTAAAAACATCGATTCCGAAGTACGTTAGCCGAGCAAATACTTGAAAAATTACAATTCATATTAATTTCCTTTCATCATGGATATGACAATCATGCTCCTACGTAATATTTGAATGTTATCATGTATCGTAAAGCTGAATATTACTGACCCAAATTTATTAAAACTTCACATTACTATAGTAAGTAGCCTGGCTGAACGTAGTCACTAAAGCATACATAAAACTAATTGATTTATATTCACTTGGTATTGTTTGTTTGAATCTTCCCATTGATGTTTAGGACTGCAACTGGTCAGTCTCTTATTTGCATATGTGCATACTGTGCGTATTGCCTCGGTATAGCCTTCATTCACAAGCATTATAAGTCTCAGAGTGATCATCAACTCTGAGATGCAGGTACATCCAGCTGACGAATCCCGAATAGGACGAAACGCGCATCCTGGATTCCACTGCTAGCCACTATCCATCTTTGCTTATAATTGATTTATGGTTTACAACTCAATTTTTTAAATGTTGTCTACAAAAGGTCTTTAAATACAATATCGAAAATATTTAACTCATCTTGCTTACATGGTATCATGCAGAAGTCTAGACAATCGAATGTCATATGTCAATCTGCGATTAACAGACACGTCGATATCGACTCATTTTAGCAATCCTTAAAGAAAAAATCAACTAATCACATGGTCAAAGGTTAACTAAACAAAAGATTCAACGGGAACACGAGAACAAATAGATAATAAGTCCTGCAATGAAAAGAAGGTTATCATAAAGAGTTTACTTGATATTACCGTAATAATAATAGAACGAAACGGCCGTCCAGTGCTTCCAGGTTTTCGATAGTGGTCTAGCTTCAATTGACTCATGATTTCAACCGTGAAAATACTTGATATTTGTTGAATATCCGGAAAGATTACTTCCATCTTAAAATAGTGTTTAATCATTTTTCGCAGAATGATGCCGAATGATCCACAGTTAGAGCAACCAGAACAGAGAGCTTATTACTAACACTGTGGTGTGTGCTGCTGATGTCGACAGATATAAGTAGTATGTATCAGTAATCGAAAGTGGAATATCTGACGGCAGAATAATAAGATAAGATTGAAGAAAAGAGAACGAGAACAAATAATGATTGATATGGAAACGAGAGAACAGTGAAATCTGAGACGATGGATTTGATTGGCTCCACTTGTGTTCTCGATCACTACACCACTAACTGATATTTTGAAACGATAACTTCCTGGGTTTAGTTTAACATAATGATGATGAAACTCAACATAAATTGACTAATACAAGTCGACAATGCACACTGTTTGATTGTATCTTGTGTGTGTCTTGAAATAGTCTGATTCTATTCCATTAGATAATAAATTTAATATGGAAAATGTTTCAAAAGTCAACTATAAATTTATTATTCCACTATGCACATATCATGTGTATTTTAGTGTACACCGATTAAAATGTCATTCGACTTATGTTTGTTTGTTGTTTTTATCTAAATGTGCGCCGTGCTGTAGGCATCTGAATCTACTGGTTATCATATGATATAGGCATTTTTTCTTCATTTCCCATAATCTAACTTGGAATTGCGTGATCCACTCAGGGGACTATTTTTTCTTGTTTTATTCCAAATTACAAAAAAAATCCTCCTAAAGGAGGGACATTTGTTAAAACATTATTATTATTATCGTTATTCAACAGTATGTTAATTTATCATGTTCTGTTTAACTCTACACACATATAAACAAGCGTAATTCATCTTTGCTGCCTAAATATAACAGGGATTTTAATCAAGTACCATTTGAATGTAGACATGATCAATATTTGTATCCGTCTAATATATAGCTGATCTAGATTGATTTATAATTTACCGGAAATGAAACAAGATCAACTGTATATCAGTCAATATTGTTATCACACATACACACACACAAAAGCCATAATGATTTGAATTTAAAAAATCCAATTTCAGTTTGAATTAAATCCAAACAGTTTAATTCATGAGTTGATGTAAGCTAAACAACCACTGAAAACCTGGAAGCAATGGACGGTCGTTTCATCCTAGTATGAGACTGATCAGCAGCGTTCATTCATGATCCCGTATGCGGAACCTCGAACCGGGACCTTTGGTCTCACACGCAAACGCTTAACCTCTAGACCACTGAACCAACATACAACGGTGTTAATATCTAACTTCAACAAGTTCACTTTATTGAGTGACCGTCCATCATTGTCTTCAGTCAGTAATTGCATCACAACAAACACTGATTGAACTGCACTGTTCACGGATTCTCACTAGAACTCCCGGAAATCCATCTTAAAACTAGTCACCAGTGAGCACATGATAATTATTGCTAGAATGGGGGTTTGTGGAGATTTTAGTGATTTTAATAGTTGGATCCATGAGTCGATGCAAGCTAGACCACCATTGAAAACCTGGAATCTGAGGAGTCCCATACCAGGATGAAACGGCCGTCCAGTGCTTCCAGGTTTTCTATGGTGGTCCAGCTTAGATCGACTCATGAGTTCAGCTATTTATTTCACTACAATCTCCACAACCCCCCCCCTATTCCATTCTATTAAATGATTATTAATTAAATTTCCGCGTGTAGTTTTGTAAGACCGATGAATATATCCATGGAAATAACGATGGATCATTGATTGATTTTTCAAATTTATTCTCATTTTTTTGTGACTGGTCTTTTTATTTGACACGTCAAATTAGCCTGGTTTTCGTATTGTTCTAATTATATATGACATTGAGAATTCGTTCATTTAATTGTATATTCAGTTGTTTACTCTCAATCAAACCTGTCCAGTTTGGAAATGAACATTTTTGTCATGATGACATTTTATAAATCAGCTGATCATTTTAATTGTGAAATTAAAAAAAAACATAAAAATATCCCCTCATTTATAAGTTGAATTTAAATGATAGATTTTTGGGGTCTTCAACACAGACTGATTTTTGCTAAACGGTTATTAGAAACCATGAAGAATTGCATAGTTGCTCCGTTCTATTATGAAACTATTCAGAAGTACTTATTCCTAATCCAATTAGGTATTAAAGTTAGAATAATCGGATATGGCAACAAACGCTTAATAATGAAATCACATGTGTTATATCGAATAATTTGGTGCCCTGTTTTATATATGACGTGATGACTTCTGCCAATCAAAGTGGAGTGATTTTATCTGTCAGAGCAATGATACACAAAAGCCATATGAGCAGTCTCGAGTACTGATCAGTCATGCTTTCTGTCTAGCCCAGCTAGTTAAGTCCAGAACACCAATAACCACTTCTGCAATATGAATCGTTATCCTCAAACATACTGAGTTTATATACCAATCAAACTGACCACATCGTACCATAAAATAGAAAATAACATTTGTACAAGATTTGGCCAAATGTGGCTGTGAATAGGGGGAACGAACGGTAATTAATAGACAGGGGATAACTCACGAATGGCAAATCGTACAGTAATAGTCTATCGGTCAAAATAAAGCTCATAATAAAAGGAACATGAATATGAATACCTAAGTTACTTAACAATCATAGAATAGGAGATATACATATCATATTGGTTCATATATAGTCCTCAAAAGTTACTATTCATAATTCTCTTCGGGATATGACAACATGTATAAACGTAATCAATTCTTCATACTAAGCCATCATTTCTTAGTGTTATTGATAGGTATCTGCATCA